CGATGTGACAACACACAACAGTGGGAAAGGTGTGGTATTGTTTGTAAATGCCTTGTTAACCTCGAAGTGAGGCTCCAGCGAAATTCTCATGCAGTTTATGTCGTTGGTCAGCTAAGTATTTCGCTTTGTTACAAGAGACATTTGGGTATGAAAGGTTTTTTGTATAGAAGCAATAGCTTCTGGGGAGAATATCCCAACAAAAAACTAAGGGAACTGATGAGGATCAGTGGCGTGATCCAAAACTATAGTCTTCCCTGCCTTACCCCTCGGCAAACAATGCCATACATTTCCCACTAATAAATAGTTTTTTTTTTATAAAAACAACAAACTGGGATTCAGCCTGACTATTTTGCAAAAACAATGTAAAATTAAAAGCTCTTCTGTTGGAAAATTTGTCTAAAATATTATAAATCACGGAAATGGGACGGGATCTTCATACGTATACTTTATGGGGTCCGCAACGAATATTTCGAGGTGTTGCAAACGGAATGATAAAATTAATTTATACTTCACCTTATTATAGAGGGTGTAAAATTTACTATTTCTAGTTTCTCGAAGAAATATTTCTCAAAAAACAAGGCCTTAAGGCCCTCAAAAAATATTGCTTTTAGCAGCGCGGAAAAAAAAATATTTAAAAACGAAAATATATATGGGAGCTATATCTAAATCTGAACCGATTTTCAGAAAACTTAACACACATCATTCTAGACCTAATTCATTACGCTGTGCCAAATTTCGTGCAAATCGAAAGATATATAGGGACTTTGATGCACCATTTACCTCAAATCGGACGAAAATATATATGGGAGCTATATCTAAATCTGAACCGATTTTCAGAAAACTTAACACACATCATTGTAGACCTAATTAATTACGTTGTGCCAAATTTCGTGCAGATCGAAAGATATTTAGGGACTTTGGCGCACCATTTATGGGAGCTATATCTAAATCTCAACCGATTTTCACGAAACTTAACACGCACCACTTCAGACTTAATGTAGTATGCCGCTGTGCCAAATTTCGTGCAAATCAAACGATATATAGGGACATTGGTGCACCATTTGCATTAAATCGGACGAAAATATATATGAGAGCTATATCTAAATCTGAACCGATTTTCAGGAAACTTAACACACTTCATTGTAGACCTAATTCATTACGCTGTGCCGAATTTCGTGCAAATCGAGAGTATATAGGAACTTTGGTGCACCATTTACATTAAATCGGACGAAAATATATATGGGAGCTATATCTAAATCTGAACCGATTTTTTGATCCTTTGGCCAAATAAGTGACCTATGCCAAATCGGATCATAAATGCGACCTGTACTTTGTTAAAAAATACTTTGACGGACGGACAGACGGATATGCGTAAATCGACTCAGAAAGTGATTCTATGCATATTCTCAAATATGCCTATCTCGTTTCCTTTTGCCTGTTACAAACATATGCACAAAGACATAATACCCTGTACCACAGTGTGGTGTAGGGTATAAAAAACACACATTGTAGGTCGTCCAAAAAATTATAGTTTATAAATCCACACCTTGTAGGTCCAACAAAAAATATTTCTTTAAAAATCCACGCCTTCTTGGACCTCGAGAAAATATTTCTTTAAAAATCTGGACTTCGAGAATATATTCCTTCGAGAATATACTCCTTCTTGAAGCTCGAGAAAATATGCCTTGGATATCTATTCCTCCTAGGACCTCGAAATATGCCTTAGAAAACCACGCCTTCTTGGACCTCGAGTTTATAAATCCACACCTTCTTGGACCTCGAGAAAATATTCCTTGATAATCAACACCTTCTTGGACTTCGAGAAATTATTACTTTAAAAACCAAACCTTCTAGGACCTCGAGAAAATATATATATTTTTTTTTTAAATCCACGACATCCATGTTCTCAAAAAAATGTAGTTTGTAAAAAATATGACCTCGAAAAGGTTCTTGATTAGTTCAAAATCAAGGCTTTCCAGGACCTCGAGAAAGTATTCTTTAAAAACCCACACCCTGTTGAATCTCGAAAAAAACACTTCTTAAAAATCCACTCTCCAGAAAATATTTCTCAAAAAAATACACCTTATAAATTCATGAAATAATATTTCTTTAAAGTACATGCTTTCCAGGGACGTACGCAGAGGGAGGGGGGGGGGTGGGAAGTGGTCTACCCCCGGAAATTTTTTCACAGTAAACCTATGTTTGCAACAGCGATTTTTTTTATTTTCTACTACCGGCCGAATTTTTCGCGGCGTTACAAACCCTTGGGGCCAGACACAGCTATAGTACCCTTAGAACATAGTTGTGTAGGGTATAAAAACTCATGCCTTGTAGGTCGTCGAATGAAATATTCCTTCAAAATTCAATCCTTCTATAATTAATAATTTTCTAAAAACTCAACGCTTCCCAGTACCTTCCTTTTCCTTCAAAATCCACGTTTTCGAACACGATCCTTTTCCGAAGAAGACAAAAACTATTTCTTCATCATTTCATCAGAAAGTATTATTCTTATCAGACCTGGATGTTTTCTTCATAGATGACCAAAAGGGTTTTTATAGAATACCAAAATTAGTTCTTTATAGAATAACAGAATTTATTCTAATAGAAGAGAAACATTTCTTTTTCCAGAATACCGGAAAGACTTCTTAGAAACCCCGAGGAAGTCTTCATGGAAAAAATTTCTTTTTATAAAGGCCAAGAATTGATTCCTTTGAACGAGAAATTGTGACCGCCTATAAGGTTTTTTCTATGTAGAGAAGAATTTCTAAAAAGTCGTTTTTTAGAACATTTGAAGGCCTATTTGTCGACTACAAAGCCGCTTTCGGCAGCCCTATTCTTTCAGAGGTGTTTGAGGCCATGTCTGCGTTTGGCATTCCTGCAAAATTAATTCGGCTATGCAGGATAACATTAACTTACACAAGATCAGCAATTCAAGTCGGAAGGGACTTCTAGGAGCCCTTTAAAACCGAACGAGGATTCAGATAAGGTAAAAGTTTGTCGTGTACACCAAACAACACATGTTACCCGCCTACGCCGATGACATCGACATAATGGGACGAACACTGAGAGCGGTAACAACCATCTTTGAACAAATCGAGAAGGGTCTGCCAAAGTGAGTCTGGCAGTAAACGGCGAAAAGACCAAGCTGATGGTATCAACGCGCAACACGTCCAGTAGACTCGGACCAACTGTGGAACTTGAGAACTACAGCTTCGAGGTAGACAAAGATTTTATATACCTTGGTACCGCCAAAAACAAAACGAATGACATCAGTTTTGAAATTCGGAGAAGGATAGTGATTGCCAACAGATGCTACTATGGTCTGAGCAACAACTCAAAAGCACGGCCACCTCCCGGCAGACCAAACTCAAAGTCTACAAGACGCTGATACTACCCGTGCTGTTATATGGGTCTGAAGCATGGGTACTTACGCAAGCAGATGAGGCAGCTCTTAGATTGTTTGAGAGAAAAAATCTCCGAAAGATCTATGGGCCGATCTGCGTTGACGGTGAATATCGCCGTCGAATGAACCATGAGTTGTACCAGCTATTCTTGGACATCGACATTGTTAGACGTATTGAGCTGTAGCGACTAGGTTGGTTAGGTCATGTTGTGAGAATGGATGAAGATTCCCCAGCCCAGAAGGCATATAAAAGCGAAACAGCTGATGGTTCCCGCAGAAGGCCAAGGATACGATGGAAAGATCAAGTCGAAGACAACATTGCCGAATATAGTCTTTCAAATTGGAAAAACGCGCCTGGAAATCTTTTCTAAGCTCGGCTTATGGAACGAATGATCTGTCACAAGCCAGCTAAGTAAGTAAGTAAGGCCTTCTTATGGGATATCATAAGGTTCTCTCCATAGAATACCATTATAGAGGTCCATACGGGTTTCGTTTTAAAATTTTAACTTCAAAATGTATAGACGTAATGAGCTGCAGCGACTACGTTGGCTAGGTCATGTTGTGAGAATGGATGAAGATGCCCCAGCCCAGAAGACATATAAAAGCGAACCAGCTGATGGTTCCCGCAGAAGGCCAAGGATATGATGGAAAGATCAAGTCGAAGACAACATTGCCGAAAATGGTCTTTCAATTTGGAAAAACGCGCCTGGAATCTTTTCTAAGCTCGGCTTATGTAACGAAAGTTCTGTCACAAGCCAGCTAAGTAAGTAAGGCCTTTTTGTGGGATATCATAAGGTCCTCTCCATAGAATACCATTATAGAAGTCCAAACGGGTTTCGTCCTTAAATTTCAATTTCAAAATGTATCCTTAGCAGCCCAACCTCAAATTTAACATACTGTTAAATAACATTACCAATTAACATAATTACCGACAAAGCTTTAATAATGTTATAAAAGCTTTCTAAAGGACACTTGAAAGCTTACGTTTGACAACACATCCCCTGCAGGTGAGTGTGTGTGTCCGTGTGCGGTGAAATGTCAAAATAAACATATGATAGGTAGATACCACAACAATGGAACATTTATTATCCTTACAATTACTTTAGCTGTCAAAATGTGAAAAAACGGTGCTGCAAGGAATATCAAAAAGGAAAGCAAAAGAAAAATATCCTTCAGAATACGCTTGCGATAAAAATAAAACCCGAATTGAAAATTAGTTAAAACAAATGTAAATGTGAATTGAAACCTTAGGTGCTTAGTGTAGTTAAATGTAGTTCCACAAAAAAATCAACAATAACAACAAATTCAGTCATAAAAAAGATATGTAGTGAACTAACCTCAGACATACATCCTAGAATAGAGTCCTTGCATTGCATAGCCTTGCAAAAGAAAAAAAAAAAAAATGATGTTGCTCATAATCGAGTTGAAACTAATGAAACCAAGGGAATAGAAAGGAATTATTTGTGCGGAAAATAAGCAACCACCGTTAGAAGACGTAAAATAACAAACAACCGGAGAGTAATCCACCACCAACACCACAAGCCTCTTGTATAATAATCTACTATCCAATTACCCGGTCGTCGTCCTCCTCGTCATCATGAAAATAATGCGTTTGCGGCATGCCAAAGTTATTGTCGTCCTGATTGTCATAGCCAATCTGATACTCTTCTACTATTCATGGAAGTCAACGCTGTGGAAAAATATTGCTGCCTCGCTGACCCTGCCCAGCATGGAGACATATGATTTGCTCAAAAAACCCACACAGCCACATGTGGAAAAATCTCCCAAGGAAAAAGCCCGTAATGCCTTTAAACACATACGCAAATCGATTACGATTGTCTTTCGTACATTTTACACCTTTGAGAATGACATCAAGGATTCGATAGACAGTATTTTGGATGTGATACCCAATATGCCGATTGTGGTCTATTTGGAAGGTATTCCCTACCCTCCATTAATATATCAACGCAATAACTCAGCCGGTGGCCAGGAGACCAGTGTGCGTTTTGTTAATTTGGGATTTGATATTGCCAAACCGGTACACGAACTTAACCCCCTTTCTGCCGTGCATACCAAATATGCCCTCTTTATGCCGGACAGTGTACGTTTGAGTAGTAAAAATTTGCTACAGAAAATTCTTCGAGAAATCAATACAAATAGTTGGGAGAATAAAGATGCGAAAGCGGTACAAAAATCGAAATCGATGATAGCTCCAGAGGAGGTGGTGCGCCGTGTGATTATTGTACCCTTTGCCGGGAATTTGAAATCATTCGCTGGTTGCATACAAATAACATTGGATTTGCCGAATTGGACCATACAATATACGGCTGTCAATAGTACAAGTGATAAATGTGATTTGGTAAGTTCGGAAAAGTTCGATATGTTCTCAAATAAACGGAGGCAACTAATTGGTGGTATTCCATTTTAAAGTTTTTACAAAAACATGCATTGCTGGTTGATGTTGGAGTCCTTAAAGAAATGCCCGAACCCCTGGCTGCACCATTTCCCGAAATGTTCTATGTACAGGCGAAGTTGAGTAATATAACGGTAAGTGAGAACTTTTTCAAGAAAATTTTTATTATGAAATAGTTGGTATTTAAAAAGTCCGATCGGCTTCGTGGATTTTTAAAGAATATTTTTCTAAAGGACCAACCACAGAAGGCAGGGATTTTTTTAAGAATTTTCTGTCCAAAGGACCAACCACAGAAGGCGTTGATTTTTTTTGTCCAAAGGACCAATCACAGAAGGCGTGGATTTTTTGTCCAAAGGAGCAACCACAGAAGCCGTGGATTTTTTTAAAGATTCCAAAAGACCAACACAGGAGGCGTGGATTTTTTTAACGATTCCAAAGGACCAATCACAGAAGGCGTGGATTTTTTTAAAGAACATTTTTTGTCCAAAGGACCAACCAAAGAAGGTGTGGATTTTTTTAAGAATTTTTTTGTCCAAAGGACCAACTACAGAAGGCGTGGATTTTTTTAAAGAACATTTTTTGTCCAAAGGACCAACCAAAGAAGGTGTGGATTTTTTTAAGAATTTTTTTGTCCAAAGGACCAACCACAGAAGGCCTGGATTTTTTTAAAGAATTTTTTGTCCAAAGGACCAACCACAGAAGGTGTGGATTTTTTTAAAGAATTTTTTGTCCAAAGGACCAACCACAGAAGGCGTGGATTGTTGTTAAGAATTTTTTGACCAAAGGACCAACCACAGAAGGCGTGGATTTTTTAAAGAATTTTTTGTCCAAAGGACCAACCACAGAAGGCGTGGATTTTTTAAAGAATTTTTTGTCCAAAGGACCAACCACAGAAGGCGTGGATTTTTTAAAGAATTTTTTGACCAAAGGACCAACCACAGAAGGCGTGGATTTTTTAAAGAATTTTTTGACCAAAGGACCAACCACAGAAGGCGTGGATTTTTTAAAGAATTTTTTGACCAAAGGACCAACCACAGAAGGCGTGGATTTTTTAAAGAATTTTTTGTCCAAAGGACCAACCACAGAAGGCGTGGATTTTTTTAAAGAATTTTTTGTCCAAAGGACCAACCACAGAAGGCGTGGATTTTTTAAAGAATTTTTTGTCCAAAGGATCAACCACAGAAGGCGTGGATTTTTTAAAGAATTTTTGGTCCAAAGACCAACCACAGAAGGCGTGGATTTTTTAAAGAATTTTTTGACCAAAGGACCAACCACAGAAGGCGTGGATTTTTTAAAGAATTTTTTGACCAAAGGACCAACCACAGAAGGCGTGGATTTTTTAAAGAATTTTTTGACCAAAGGACCAACCACAGAAGGCGTGGATTTTTTAAAGAATTTTTTGACCAAAGGACCAACCACAGAAGGCGTGGATTTTTTAAAGAATTTTTTGTCCAAAGAACCAACCACAGAAGGCGTGTATTTTTTAAAGAATTTTTTGACCAAAGGACCAACCACAGAAGGCGTGGATTTTTTAAAGAATTTTTTGACCAAAGGACCAACCACAGAAGGCAGGGATTTTTTTAAGAATTTTCTGTCCAAAGGACCAACTACAGAAGGCGTGGATTTTTTTTAAAGAATTTTTTGACCAAAGGACCAACCACAGAAGGCGTGGATTTTTTTTTAAAGAATTTGTCCAAAGGACCAAACACAGAAGGCGTGGATTTTTTAAAGAATTTTTTGTCCAAAGGACCAAACACAGAAGGCGTGGATTTTTTAAAGAATTTTTTGTCCAAAGGACCAAACACAGAAGGCGTGGATTTTTTAAAGAATTTTTTGTCCAAAGGACCAAACACAGAAGGCGTGGATTTTTTAAAGAATTTTTTGTCCAAAGGACCAAACACAGAAGGCGTGGATTTTTTAAAGAATTTTTTGTCCAAAGGACCAAACACAGAAGGCGTGGATTTTTTAAAGAATTTTTGGTCCAAAGACCAACCACAGAAGGCGTGGATTTTTTTTTAAAAAAAATTTTGTCCAAAGGACCAAACACAGAAGGCTGGATTTTTTTTTAAAAAAAAATTTGTCCAAAGGACCAACCACAGAAGGCTGGATTTTTTTTAAGAATTTTTTGGTTCAAAGGACCAACTACAGAAGGCTGGATTTTTTTAAGAATTTTTTGGTTCAAAGGACCAACTATAGAAGGCGTGGATTTTTTAAAGAATGTTTTCTCCAAAGGACTACAATTTTTTATTTTTTACTTTTACCGATTTACTCTTCACTTTGATATCAAAGTCATATAGCTATGGACCACTATTTAATTATAAACATCTTATTCGATGTTTTGTATACCCTTCACCACTCTGTGGTACAGAGTATTATTTCTTTGTGCATATGTTTGTAACGGGCAAAAGGAATCGAAATAGACCTAGGGTTGCTTTTGAGAATATGCATAGAATCCCTTTCTGAGTCAATTTACGCATGTCCGTCTGCCCGTCCGTCTGTCTGTCCATGTTAAATTGTAAACAAAGTACAGGTCGCATTTAAAATCCAAATTGGATGAAATTTCGCATAGGTCACTTATTTAGCCCAAGGACGAACCCTATTGAAATTGGGAAAAATCGGTTCAGATTTAGATATAGTCCCTATATATCTTTCGATTTGCACGAAATTTGGTATAGCGTAATGAATTAGGTCTAGAATGGTATGTGTAAAGTTTCTTGAAAATCGGTTCAGATTTGGATATAGCTCCCATATATATTTTCGTCCGATTTAATGTAAATGGTATACCAAAGTCCCTATATATCATTCGATTTGCACGAAATGCGGCATAGTGTACTGAATTAAGTCTAGGATAACGTGAGCTAATTTTCATAAAAATCGGTTCAGATTTAGATATAGCTCCCATATATATTTTTGTCCGATTTAAGGTAAATGGTGTACCAAAGTCCCTATATATCATTCGATTTGCACGAAATTTGGCACAACGTACAGAATAATGTCTAGAATGATGTGTGTTAAGTTTCGTGGAAATCGGTTCAGATTTAGATATAGCTCCCATATATATTTTCGTCCGATTTAAGGTAAATGTTGTACCAAAGTCCCTATATATTTTTGGATTTGCACGAAATTTGGCATAGCGTATTAAATTAAGTCTAGAACGGTGTGTGTTAAATTTTGTGAAAATCGGTTCAGATTTCGATATAGCTCCCATATATATTTTCGTCCGATTTTAGGTAAATAGTGCACCAAAGTCCCTTAAATACTTCGATTTGCACAAAATTTAGCATAGCGTACTAAATTGAGTCTAGAATGATGAGTGGTGAGTTTCGGGAAAATCGGTTCAGATTTAGATATAGCTGTCATATATATTTTCGTCCGATTTTAGGTAAATAGTGCACCAAAGTCTCTTTATATACTTCGATTTGCACGATATTTGGCATAGCGTACTAAATTAAGCCTAGAACGATGTGTTTTAATTTTCGTGAAAATCGGTTAAGATTTAGATATAGCTCCCATATATATTTTTGTCCGATTTAATGTAAATGGCATAATAAAGACCTTGTATATCTTTCGATTTGGACGAAATTTGGCATAGCGTACTGAATTAAGCCTAGAATGATGTCCCTATATATCTTTCGAATTACACGAAGGGAAATTCGGTTCACGGCACAACGTAGTGAAGTTAGTATAGCCTAATATGTGGAGGTTTCGTTCAAATCGGTTCAGATTTGTATATAGCTCCTATATATTTCCTCCGATGCACCAAGGGCTCAAAATATGGCCGATATGCACAAAACGTGCTAAAAGTAGTATTAACTAACTGTGACAAGTTTCATTGAAATCCGTTTAGATATAGCTTCGATTAATATTTTCATCCGATTTTTAAAATTAAGTGGTGCCCCAAACTCCTAATTTTTGTCATATTGACGCGAAATTTTTCACAACGTACAAAATTGAGTATAGAGTGTCGTAATTGCTTTTCGTAGAAATGCCGACATAGCCCATATATTCGACCAACTTCATGTTTATTCGGTTTCAAATAATCAACGTATGTCCGATTGAGATTTGCTTTAAATCGATTTACATAATTTTGTATAATTCTCTATCTATCCAAATGAAGAGTTTATTATAGGTTATAGAATGTCATGTTTGTTAGAATGCATATGTTAAATATACCCAAAGTGGTGAAGGGTATCATATAGTCGGCTCTGTCTGACTTTACTACTTTCCTTACTGTTTTTTTCTTCTTCTTTTTTTGTTTATTCCACATTTGTTTCTTGTTTTACTTTTCAGTTAATAACAATTTATTATCTTCCTCTATTGTTTTGCAGAAATTCGTATTCCCAACCTCGTTTCAAGATGGACGGCGGCTATTTGCAGCGTATCACACAAAACAGCGACGTACAGATATTCGACGACGCCAATTTCGGGAGATGTATAAAAAATTACAAATAAAGCGAATTGTTCGACGTTCTCATAAGGTATCGATTAAAACCGATTCCAAGGACTCGTCCTCGTACAATGCTCAACACAATCTAGTATTGGATACACAATTCTCCTCGTCGAATTTCTCATTACCCCAAGTTACCGACATCGATTTAATCGGTTGTGAACGAACCACCAAATCCTGTGTGGGCACCGTCTATAATCAACGTCCATTTTATGTCTATCTGGGTAAACATACGCCGCCCTGTTGTTTGGATAAGCTAAAGAGTACCTTCAATCATGTCCTGGAGGAATTTGAAAATGTCGGAATTCGTTATTGGTTGGACAATCAGGCGCTGAGAACGGCAATCGACACCAATCGTTTATCACCCGATGCTTATGACATTGACATCAGTTTCAATGTCAACGATTTGGAGCGTTCGAATTCATTGAAGAAATCCCAAAATAAACCCTATGTTGATAACGAGGGGTTCTATTGGATAAAGGCCACCGATGGCCACTACTTTAAGGTACAATTTTCAAAGATAAATCAGATTGGTGTAAATCTGTTGCCATTTGAGATCAGCGGTAATGTGGTGAAACCGAATGGTTTCTTCGGCTGGAAGGCCAAGTCGTTTTCGGCAGATTTCCTACATCCCATGTCGACGGTGCTATTTTTGGGTAAAAATATTATGTGTCCCAATAATGTCAGAGATTATTTAGAATTTAAGAATATTCCATAGAGTTGGGTGGGTGGGTGAGGGGTGAGTGCGTATTCGTTCAGCCGATTGAGAGAATTGCAACAAGTACTTTTGTGAGTTTATTAAATAGACTTTAGATAATTTAAGTACACTCACACAGACACACACAAAAACAATCACACGTGCAGACACACAAAATAAACTACATAGATAAGTAATTATAAATCCTATCCTATTATAGGCAAAAATATAATGACACTTATGCTTACTTGGAGTTAGTTAGGTTAGATTATGTTGGTATTTAGTTTTGAAAATTTGTTATATATTTAGTTTTTAGATAATGTGGCAAGCCACAATAATTTCATAATTTTATGTGACGAACACTGCTAGTTTCATTATAAAGAAAATTAGATTCGTAATCAACTTCCCAGAAAACAATTTTTGCCAAGGGTCTAAGATTTTTTCGAGGGTTTCTAAAGGTTTTTTATAAATTATTTTTTTTCTACATTTTCCATATTCGATAGGTTCCTCATAAAATATATGAGAGTATTCTTAAGGCACCGTTAAGTTTGGCCGGACCGAAATTTATATACCCTCCGCCATTTGTTCGGCATTCAAAATATCCAAAATCAAAACTTCAGAACTCTATATTAAATATTGCGATTTCTATCGTGATTTCCACAGACGGACAGACGGAATATATATACTTTGGTCAAGAGTATACACCTAAGTCTGTTTTTACACGGTAGATTGGTTCCAGAAAAAACGTGTAAAAAAGGGAATTCCCCTAAATTAGTGCTATTCACATTTGATTTGACCAGTAAAAATTGTTTGTACGCGCTAAAGGGGAATTCACATAAATCTTTAAGCTATCGATACTATCGATGGTTTCAGACTTTTTTCTTTCATAAATACTTTTTGTGATATGAACATACACGGCAAAAATTAAATTTGACCAAAAAATTTAAGTACATGGCGTAGGGGATGATAGATACCTAGCAACGGCTCTGATTGGCTTTAACGTGGCGAAGTCCAGGCTTATCTTGGTCCCTCTTTCATCTCAATTGTGTACACTGACCTCCCCGCGGTGCCACCTGGGGAGCTATTCTCATCACCCGATGAAATAGTGCCGCAAGTTCACCCATAATAACTATAAAAACTGGGTTGAGGCGTCGGGTTAGTTGTCCACTCTGGGAAAAACCAACCTACTATGAAAAAGCTAAGAAAAAGAAAACCAAACTCCCCATATGTTGACGACCTCCGCAAACGTATAAAGGACCACGATCTGCGAATCTGCAATGTGCGCACGTTGTACAGAACAAGCGCAGGGTTCGCTTTGGCGGATGTACTCAAGAAGTACAAAGCCGATATTATTGCCTTACAGGAAATGCGATGGAAAGGGATTGGCGTAAGTAAATCAGACTATTACGCCCTGTATTATAGCTGCCATGAAACGAGACATTAATTTGGCTGCGGATTTATGGTTAACAGGAGAAAAAAATACCTTGTCTCCAGATTCACTCCAGTAGATGAGCGAATTGCTATAATCCATATAAAAGCGAAGTTCTTTTGCGCCCATGCTCCGACCGAAGATAAAGATGAACAGGCCAAAGACATATTTTAGCAGCGCCTAGAAACAGCATATGACCGTTGCCCTAGCCATGACATTAAAATTCTGCTAGGAGATTTTAATGCAAAAATCGGAAGGGAAATTATCTTTGGCTCCACCCTCGGAAAATTCAGCCTTCATGAAGAAACATCGGACAACGGCATGAGGTTGATTGACGGCGCGGCAGCAAAAAACATGATAGTTAGCAGCACCAGATTCAAGCATCTCGATATACACAAGGCCACCTGGATCTCTCCTGATCAAGTAACGAGAAATCAAATTGATCATGTTGTGATAGACGGAAGTTATTCATCCAGTGTTTTAGACGTCCGATCGATCCGAGGAGCGAATATCGATTCGGACCATTACCTTGTGGCAGCCAAGGTACGCACCCGCCTTAATGTTGCAGCAAAGGTGCGATCTAATACAACACGGAAACTCGACGTCGAAAAGCTGCAAACACAACAGGTAGCCGAGGCCTACTCCGCTCAACTTACCCATCTGCTTGAAGAAAGCACTTCTTGTCCCGATAATAGTATAGAAGCACAATGGCAAAGAATTGCCCACTCCCTACAAACTGCAGCAAAATGAACAATTGGGTACCAAAAATCACCACCAAGAAACCCATGGTACGATCAGGAGTGTCGTAATGCTACTGATGTGAAAAACGCAACGTATAACGCAACACTGCAGACAGTAGCAACACGTAACGTAATGGAGAATTATCGGGAAAAAAGGAGAGAGGAGAAACGTGTTGTCAGAAAAAAGAAGAAAGAATAAGAAAAATGTGAGCGTGAGCAAATCGAGATGTACAGGAGTCAGAATGAAGTCCGAAAATTTTACCAATTTTACCAACGAGTTAAACACCAAACCGAAGGCTTTGGTGCAGTCACATCCTCCTGTAGAGATGAAGAAGGAAACCTGGTGACAGATACAGACAGCTTGTTGAGGATCTGGAAGGAGCATTTCGAAAAGCTTCTAGTATCAAATAGTGGCGATGAAGAAGATACCCCCAGAACCAATAAGAGATGATGGTATAGAGTGTATACCACCTAGCCAAGATGAGGTCATAAAAGCAATTAATCGGCTCAAGAACAACAAAGCACCAGGAGCCGATAGGTTACCAGCCGAACTATTCAAGACTGGTGGCCAGATGCTGGTCAGGAGCATGCACCAGCTTATTAGCACAATTTGGCTAGATGAACGCATGCCCAATGATTGGAACCTCAGCATCCTGTGTCCCGTGCACAAAAAAGGAGACAAGACGATATGTGCCAACTATAGAGGAATAAGTCTCCTTCCCATCGCATATAAAGTGCTTTCCAGTGTGCTGTGTGAACGATTGAAGCCAGTAGACTCGGACCAACTGTGGAACTTGAGAATTACAGCTTCGTGGTAGTTAAAGACTTTATATACCTTGGTACCGCCATAAATAAAACGAATGATATCAGTTTTGAAATTCGGAGAAGGATTGTGATGGCCAACAGATGTTACTATGGTCTAAGTAAGCAGTTTAGAAACAAGGCCACCTCCCGCTAGACCAAACTCGCACTTTACAAGACGCTGATACTAACCGTGCTATTATATGTATCAGAAGCATGGGTACTTGCGCAAGCAGATGAGGCAGCTCTTGGGGTGTTTGAGAGAAAAATTCTCCGAAAGATCTACGGGCCGATCTGCGTCGACGGTGAATATCGGCGTCGAATGAACCACGAACTTTACAATTTATACGCGGACATCGACATAGTCAGACGTATTGAGCTGTAGCGACTACGGTGGCTAGGCCATGTTGTGCGGATGAATGAAAATGCCCCAGCTCAAAAGGCATATAAAAATGCCATAGATGGAAAGACCAAGTAGAAAACAACATCTTGGAACGTGGTCTTCCAAATTGGTAGACTTGCGCACAAGACCGACGCGCTTGGAAATCTTTTTTAAGCTCGGCTTATGGAACAACCGTTCTGTAACAAGCCAGCTAAGCTAAATGGAATAAAATCGTGTAAAAAATTAAAAATACTCAGTTTTTTAAAAAAAAAACTTTTAATTTTCAAACCGTGTTATATCAAAACCGTGTACAAAAAGACCGTGTAAAAACAGACTTAGGTGTATATATTTTGTGGGTCTCCGGCGAATATTTCGTGGTGTTGCATACGGAATGACACTCCACCTTATGGGTATCAAAAAATTGATTTTGCCGAACAGAAGAACTTCTACAGCTTCTCAAAGAGAGTGTACAAATGATATTAATCTGAATTTTTTACACAACATGAAGTCTGCAACATTAACATAAACATCACGAATTTTGATTATGCCCGCACACATACAACTGGAATTCCATAATTTGACCCCGACGATTATTTTCTATTTTTTTGGTGGTTATAGATGTTTAAATTGTTGATTGTAATTAAATTACCATCCTCTTAGATTTGTTCTTCCCGTATCCCTATACTTATTTACTTCTCACCTTAAGAATTAAAAACACTATGTTTAATAAAAAAAATTTAGCCTTATATTATCGGTAAGATATAGTGAGTTTAAAACACCTACATATAAATACACACGTCTATAAAGTTATAGTATATAAATAAATACATATAGTTATATAAATAAATACATAATTACGTACATACATATTCCTAACTGATTGATCATCTGTAAAGAAATAACACAACCTACTATAAATAAACATATTAAATGAATACAAAATAAAAACAAGAACAACAACAAATAAAACACTTTAAAAGTAAAAAAAATACTGGTAATTTTTTATATAATTTGGAACTTATTTGATATTTTATTTAAGGGAACCCCACCCATTCTCGATTTTAATTTTTCAAGATTTTCAATGGGCTGGTAAATCAATACCAAGGCTTGTTAAGGTTTGTAACTTTGCACATATATATATTTGAAGATTTAAAAGACAAGAAAACTAATTTACAAAAAAATTTTTATTGCTTTGTTGTTGTTTTTTGTAATTAAAGAAAAGTACTTATTTTGATGGCGGGCATGATAACTCCTCACTGGAACATCGGAATCCGAAAATTCCAACGGTGTTAGAAAGAGTACATGTCTGGCTCTCGTATGAACTAGGATTATTGACTTCGCTCTAAAATTAACAAAATGGCGGACCTTTGAAAAAATATTTTTTGAAAATCGCCGATTTTTGACCAAAAACCAAGTTAAAAAATAAGGAAGATCTTCACCGATTGGCTTTATCCTAGTTCATACGATAGCTATACACTCACAGAAAAACGTGTAAAAATTTGGAATCGATTGGGTTATTAGTTTTTGAGTTATCGTGTCCGCCATTCGCAAAAGAGAAAAACGCGTTTAAAGTTTGAGAAGCCCTTTAGCCGTCACTTGATGCTGACACAATAAATCGGCTATATCTTCAAGAGTTCTTGAGATTTTCACATGAAATTTTGTAGAGACATTCTTGAATTAGTGTAGAATCGAATTAAATCAAAAACAATTTTGACCCCGAGAATGGGGGGTCCCCTTAATTCCAAAATGAACGTGAAAACTTTTTTAATTTGTGAATATACCCTTAAGGGCCCCATACACTATAAATCATGCCGTCATGCCGATGAACCCCTTTTTGTATATGTGAGACTGACTAGTGTATGGCAACCTCTTCAATCACTATTCCAAAAAATCGATTTTTGTCCCAAAAATTGAATTTTGAGTCGTAAATTCAGTTGTTTTTTATTCCGTCACAATTTTATTATTTTTGTAGACAAAATTATTTACTGACAACTTTCAAAATGAATATTATTCACCAGATTCCCAGTAGAAAGTGTCTTGCAGACAACATTAACGAATCGTGTAAGACAATGGCAATTCCTTGAAGACACTTTGTAGACAACAATGTGAAATCGTTGACGAAATGTTCACACAAGTGTCGCAGTATTCATGCACGACAACTTGGGCGACATGGTAAGCGAAGTTGTCGTTGACGACAACTTCGGCGACTAATCTCCCTACTTTTCGTTAACGACAGATTCACTTCCTGTCGTTTACACATTCGTTGATGACTGTATACCTATGGTCATCAATATTGTCGTCAATCATACCCCATTTAAAATTCAAATAAAAATATACATATATACATATTTTTCATTTATATTTTTTATAGCATGAAATTTATTATATTACAAAAACATACCTTATATTTACATACCTTATATTCATATAATATAAATAAGCACATTGCCTGAGAAGTTGATTATCTCCATTTTAACATCATCTGTAAAGAAACAACAAAATTAAAATGCACTGGAATATGAATCATATTTTAGATATTACAATTGCCATTTATTTGCCCCATCCTAATGCAACAATGCATTTAAATAATGATATAAATAAACTTACCTATTTTAACCAAGAAAACACGTCTTCTTTATCTCAAATTTCTTATATATTTTTTCAGAAAGAATTTTCTATGTGTTTCTGTCAATATTTCATAGTACACTCGATTCAGATTATTTTTGTTTTGTTTTTATATTTCGAGAAGAACGACATTTTCGACGACATATCATGATTTTAGTCATGAATGACAATTCCATAAATTTCGTCAACGTTTCGTTAACGAAATTGTCACGCAAGAGAGTATTTTCTACTGGGAATTGATAGGGGTTCATTTTCAAAATCAAAACTAGTTTGATTTTCTTCATGCCCCAGTAGAAAATACTCTCTTGCGTGATAATTTCGTTAACGAAACGTTGACGAAATTTATGGAATTGTCATTCATGACTAAACACTTGATATGTCGTCGAAAATGTCGTTCTACCCGAAATATGAAAACAAAACAAAAAGTCTGAATCGAGTGTACTATGAAATATTGACAGAAACAAATAGAAAATTCTTTCTGAAAATACATACATATAAGAAATTTGAGATAAAGAAGACGTGTTTTCTTGGTTAAAATAGGTAAGATTAAAATAATATACAATTATTTATATCATTAATTTAATGCATTGTTTAACTCTTAGGATGGGGCAAATAAATAGCAATTGGTGAAATGTTGTAAGTAATATCTGAAAGATGTTTCATATTCCAATGCATTTTAATTTTGTTGTTTCTTTATAGATGATGTTAAAATGGGGATAATCATTACGCCAACTTCTCAGGCAATGTGCTTATTTATATTATATGATATTATGTAAATATAAGGTATGTTTTTGCAATATAATAAATTTCATGCTATAAAATAAAAATAAATAAAAAAATATGTATATATATTTTTATTTGTATTTTAAATGAGGTATGATTGACGACAAGATTGATGACAATAGGTAAACAGTCATCAACGAATGTGTAAATGACAGGAAGTGAATCTGTCGTTAACGAAAAGTAGGGAGATTAGTCGCCGAAGTTGTCGTCAACGACAACTTCGCTTACCCTGTCGCCCAAGTAGTCGTGCATGAACACTGCGACACTTGTGTGAAAATTTCCTCAACGATTTCACATTGCTGTCTGCAGAGTGTCTTCAAGGAATTGCCATTGTCTTACACGATTCGTTAATGTTGTCTGCAAGACACTTTCTACTGGGGCATTGTGTGTGTCACACATACATAAATAAACTTTCAAAAAATAACACATACTATGATAAATGCTGAACGGCATGATGTATAGTGTATGGGGCCTTTTACACCAAGGTAGATATATAAGGTAGCCGCATCGGCGAATTGGGAACATGATATGTCAAAACGGCAAACAAAGCGAATTTAAATTAATTCGCTTTGACATATCATTTGAAGCAAATTGTTTTCTACCAATCAGAACACCGAATTTTGAAGTATAAAAAAATATAATTTTACTTTTAATTCTTGTTTTGAAATTCTTTTCATTTGATTAAATTATAATTTTATAAATGAAAATCATCATAAAATTAAAGTCCGTATTTGTAAATGCAATAAAATGGCGGTGGAGTGATTTCAATATGTGGTCCACGCTGAAAATGTGTTTATAACGCCACAAAATGTTAGCCCTATACCCACCCTTGGTCATATCTCTACTCGCTGAATCAATCAGTCATGTGTGACAGTTCATCATACTCCTGTCCGCATTTATGAACCAATCGTTCTGATATTTCGCGATCTGGCCAATGGCAGCACCCATAGTTTTTGGTAATGAAAGGTTTGATTGCTCTTTGAGCCTTGATACGGTTACCTTATTAATATACCTTGCCTTACACTAATCATCGAAATGACATTATCAATTTAATCGTGTTAAGTTTGAAGAACGAACAACGTTAAGCAATTTTAAAAATTTACTACCAAATTACAGAGTCGGTGACAGAACTCCAATTTTTAATCGTCTCATATCTGGTTCAAAGAAGCAACCTTCATAATTTGACATTTTTTGGGGGGTTTAAGTGTAGTTTTTGGCTTAAGTAGACATCAGGGACGCCGTTGTTTTTCATTTTAATTATAGCCGACCCGGCCCAAACCGGACCGTTTTTTCATTTTAATTACACCCGACCCGGCCCACAGGTTTCTTGTATCGCATATTTAGATTTAGCAAAAGCTGCAATTTTGTAATGTCGCCATCTTATCTTCAAAAAAAGGAGGGTGCAGAAAGGGCAACCACCAAGTCCAAAATTATTTTTATCCGAAAATTCTAACGGTTTTAAAAAGAATACATATCTCTCGCATGAACTCGGATTATTGACTTCGCTCAAAAATTAACAAAATGGCAAAACTTAAAAAAAAACCGATTTTTCACCACAAAACAAGTTAAAAAACCAGTAGTAAAGTCGGACTGGGCCAACTATAAGATACCCTTCACCACTTTGGGTATATTCTACATATGTATCCTAACAGTTGTCGCGTGTTTGTTATATATCTAGATCTGAACCGATTTCAGGGAAACTTGCCAGAGACTAATTTATATTACTTCAGTACGTTGTGTCAATCGGCCTAGCTATGGATCTTTTCACAAAGCATAGTACCATCATTCTCGACTTAATTCAGTACAAAATTCGTGCAAATCGAAAAAAAATATATTGGGACTTTGATGCGCCAATTACTTAAAATCGGACGAAAATATATATGGGAGCTATATCTAAATCTGAACCGATTTTCACGAAACTTAGCACACGTTATTCTAGACATAATTCAGTAGGCTATACCAAATTTCGTGCAAATCAAATGATTTTCAGGGACTTTGATGCACCAGTTACCTAAAATCGGGCGAATCTATATATGGGAGCTATATCTAAATCTGAACCGATATTCACGAAACTTAGCACAAATCATTCTAGACTTAATTCGGTACGCTGTGCCAAATTTCGTGCAAATCAAAATATATATAGGGACTTTGATACACCATTTACCTTAAATCGGAGGAAGCTTTATATGGGAGCTATATCTAAATCTGAAACGATTTTCACGAAACCTAGCACACGGTATTCTAGATTTAATTCAGTGCGCTACGACAAATTTCGTGCAAATCGAATGATTTTCAGAAATTTGGTGCACCAATTACCTAAAATCGGATGTATATATATATATATATATATATTTATAAATGGGAGCTATATCTAAATCTGAACCGATTTTCACGAAACTTTATATAGATTATAGACCTTATTCATTACGCTGTGCCAAATTTCGTGCAAATCGAAAGATATATAGGGACTTTAGTGGACTATTTACTTAAATCGGGCGAAACTATATATGGGAGCTATATTTAAATCTGAACCGACTTTCACGAAATTGAACACACATCATTATAGATGTGTGTGCAAATCGAAGGATATATAGGGACTTTGGTGCACCATTTACCTTAAATCGGACGAAAATATATATGGGAGCTATATCTAAATCTGAGCCGATTTTTCTCAATTTCAATAGGGTTTGTCCTTGGGCCAAATAAGTGACCTGTGCCAAATTTCATCCAATTCGGATCATAAATGCGACCTGTACTTTGTTTACATTTTAACATGGACAGACGGACATGCGCATATATATATATATATATATATATATATATGTAGACGTCACTTAGGGTAAAAAAAACGAATTTTTAATAGATATTCCCCAGTACTCTTTTTTCAAACAACAGCAATTATTATATTACCACGAAGAGATTTTCAAGCAAGCAAGCATTTCAAAGCAAGTCTAAAAACTTAAAATTCTACGCCGATCAAATGTATACATATACCTGTTGGGGTCTCAGTATATATTCCATAAAACCCAGTACGCCCAAGTACTTTTAATATATGCCACTCTACAAGCCTATGTACAATTAAATTGAACCAATATGTTTTACAATATAATTTATTTTTCAACTTGCGACAGTTGTTGTTGTATCCTTAATAATTTCGCCTTCCGGTAGTTCTCGGACCAACGAAAGTAACTTCTCCAGTTTTTGCACCTGTAAAACTGATTGTTCTACATTTTGTTGTTTCTTGGGAGGTTTTACCATCTGACGTAAATTGGGTGACAATTTCAGGGAGGTGACAGTGCCTCTGGAATAGGAAAACAAAATAATAATTATAGTATCAGTAAAACAACCAAATACAACAAATCTTTACTTATCATCTCCCACAATAATGAACGGCAACTTTTCATTAAACGACAGTCGCGTCAATTTATTTTTCCTCTTCGGTACGACAGCTTGAATACAAATCGCCTTGTATTTATTCACATTCAAATCGAAAACATAGACCTTTCCCTCATTTGTGACCGCTGCAAAGACCGTACTGGAATATGGTGCCCATTTAACATCACCCACTGCCGAACCTAAATCGAATATAAATAACGGTTCCGGACGCATATCTTCCCATATTTTAACACGCCAATCACCACTACACGATATGAAAATATTTGAATTGAAACGATTAAAATCGATACGATAAACGGAGAGATTATGTGCCCGATATGTCATGAGATATTTGGAACTATAGGCAATGCTGCATTTGTAGATGCATCCCTCTTCGGTGCCGACTAGAAATATTTCCGGATCTTCTGGATGAAATTTCATACAGGAACCGCAACTACGTAATCGCAATTCAGTGCCATCGGGGCCGGATACAATACCATTCTCGAGGAAGAGGGTAATTATTGTTGTTACCATTAATTTATTTTGCATCAAAACCCAATTGAAAACGCGACCTCCCGACGATACGGAATAGAAATTTATTTCACCATCAGCCATATCCGGACCCCATTTTATCTGAAAGGAAGGAAATGAAAGGCAAATAATTAAAAAATTTAATTCTATAAAAGAAAATTTCTGAACGACCAGAGGTTTGCTAAAAAAACACCTTAAAAAATTACCACCTGGTCTGTACTGAAGGAGAAATATTGGTCTTTTATGGAAGAAGACTTTTATAAATGAAAATCATCATAAAATTAAAGTCCGTATTTGTAAATGCAATAAAATGGCGGTGGAGTGATTTCAATATGTGGTCCACGCTGAAAATGTGTTTATAACGCCACAAAATGTTAGCCCTATACCCACCCTTGGTCATATCTCTACTCGCTGAATCAATCAGTCATGTGTGACAGTTCATCATACTCCTGTCCGCATTTATGAACCAATCGTTCTGATATTTCGCGATCTGGCCAATGGCAGCACCCATAGTTTTTGGTAATGAAAGGTTTGATTGCTCTTTGAGCCTTGATACGGTTACCTTATTAATATACCTTGCCTTACACTAATCATCGAAATGACATTATCAATTTAATCGTGTTAAGTTTGAAGAACGAACAACGTTAAGCAATTTTAAAAATTTACTACCAAATTACAGAGTCGGTGACAGAACTCCAATTTTTAATCGTCTCATATCTGGTTCAAAGAAGCAACCTTCATAATTTGACATTTTTTGGGGGGTTTAAGTGTAGTTTTTGGCTTAAGTAGACATCAGGGACGCCGTTGTTTTTCATTTTAATTATAGCCGACCCGGCCCAAACCGGACCGTTTTTTCATTTTAATTACACCCGACCCGGCCCACAGGTTTCTTGTATCGCATATTTAGATTTAGCAAAAGCTGCAATTTTGTAATGTCGCCATCTTATCTTCAAAAAAAGGAGGGTGCAGAAAGGGCAACCACCAAGTCCAAAATTATTTTTATCCGAAAATTCTAACGGTTTTAAAAAGAATACATATCTCTCGCATGAACTCGGATTATTGACTTCGCTCAAAAATTAACAAAATGGCAAAACTTAAAAAAAAACCGATTTTTCACCACAAAACAAGTTAAAAAACCAGTAGTAAAGTCGGACTGGGCCAACTATAAGATACCCTTCACCACTTTGGGTATATTCTACATATGTATCCTAACAGTTGTCGCGTGTTTGTTATATATCTAGATCTGAACCGATTTCAGGGAAACTTGCCAGAGACTAATTTATATTACTTCAGTACGTTGTGTCAATCGGCCTAGCTATGGATCTTTTCACAAAGCATAGTACCATCATTCTCGACTTAATTCAGTACAAAATTCGTGCAAATCGAAAAAAAATATATTGGGACTTTGATGCGCCAATTACTTAAAATCGGACGAAAATATATATGGGAGCTATATCTAAATCTGAACCGATTTTCACGAAACTTAGCACACGTTATTCTAGACATAATTCAGTAGGCTATACCAAATTTCGTGCAAATCAAATGATTTTCAGGGACTTTGATGCACCAGTTACCTAAAATCGGGCGAATCTATATATGGGAGCTATATCTAAATCTGAACCGATATTCACGAAACTTAGCACAAATCATTCTAGACTTAATTCGGTACGCTGTGCCAAATTTCGTGCAAATCAAAATATATATAGGGACTTTGATACACCATTTACCTTAAATCGGAGGAAGCTTTATATGGGAGCTATATCTAAATCTGAAACGATTTTCACGAAACCTAGCACACGGTATTCTAGATTTAATTCAGTGCGCTACGACAAATTTCGTGCAAATCGAATGATTTTCAGAAATTTGGTGCACCAATTACCTAAAATCGGATGTATATATATATATATATATATATTTATAAATGGGAGCTATATCTAAATCTGAACCGATTTTCACGAAACTTTATATAGATTATAGACCTTATTCATTACGCTGTGCCAAATTTCGTGCAAATCGAAAGATATATAGGGACTTTAGTGGACTATTTACTTAAATCGGGCGAAACTATATATGGGAGCTATATTTAAATCTGAACCGACTTTCACGAAATTGAACACACATCATTATAGATGTGTGTGCAAATCGAAGGATATATAGGGACTTTGGTGCACCATTTACCTTAAATCGGACGAAAATATATATGGGAGCTATATCTAAATCTGAGCCGATTTTTCTCAATTTCAATAGGGTTTGTCCTTGGGCCAAATAAGTGACCTGTGCCAAATTTCATCCAATTCGGATCATAAATGCGACCTGTACTTAGTTTACAATTTAACATGGACAGACGGACATGCGCATATATATATATATATATATATATATATGTAGACGTCACTTAGGGTAAAAAAAACGAATTTTTAATAGATATTCCCCAGTACTCTTTTTTCAAACAACAGCAATTATTATATTACCACGAAGAGATTTTCAAGCAAGCAAGCATTTCAAAGCAAGTCTAAAAACTTAAAATTCTACGCCGATCAAATGTATACATATACCTGTTGGGGTCTCAGTATATATTCCATAAAACCCAGTACGCCCAAGTACTTTTAATATATGCCACTCTACAAGCCTATGTACAATTAAATTGAACCAATATGTTTTACAATATAATTTATTTTTCAACTTGCGACAGTTGTTGTTGTATCCTTAATAATTTCGCCTTCCGGTAGTTCTCGGACCAACGAAAGTAACTTCTCCAGTTTTTGCACCTGTAAAACTGATTGTTCTACATTTTGTTGTTTCTTGGGAGGTTTTACCATCTGACGTAAATTGGGTGACAATTTCAGGGAGGTGACAGTGCCTCTGGAATAGGAAAACAAAATAATAATTATAGTATCAGTAAAACAACCAAATACAACAAATCTTTACTTATCATCTCCCACAATAATGAACGGCAACTTTTCATTAAACGACAGTCGCGTCAATTTATTTTTCCTCTTCGGTACGACAGCTTGAATACAAATCGCCTTGTATTTATTCACATTCAAATCGAAAACATAGACCTTTCCCTCATTTGTGACCGCTGCAAAGACCGTACTGGAATATGGTGCCCATTTAACATCACCCACTGCCGAACCTAAATCGAATATAAATAACGGTTCCGGACGCATATCTTCCCATATTTTAACACGCCAATCACCACTACACGATATGAAAATATTTGAATTGAAACGATTAAAATCGATACGATAAACGGAGAGATTATGTGCCCGATATGTCATGAGATATTTGGAACTATAGGCAATGCTGCATTTGTAGATGCATCCCTCTTCGGTGCCGACTAGAAATATTTCCGGATCTTCTGGATGAAATTTCATACAGGAACCGCAACTACGTAATCGCAATTCAGTGCCATCGGGGCCGGATACAATACCATTCTCGAGGAAGAGGGTAATTATTGTTGTTACCATTAATTTATTTTGCATCAAAACCCAATTGAAAACGCGACCTCCCGACGATACGGAATAGAAATTTATTTCACCATCAGCCATATCCGGACCCCATTTTATCTGAAAGGAAGGAAATGAAAGGCAAATAATTAAAAAATTTAATTCTATAAAAGAAAATTTCTGAACGACCAGAGGTTTGCTAAAAAAACACCTTAAAAAATTACCACCTGGTCTGTACTGAAGGAGAAATATTGGTCTTTTATGGAAGAAGACTTCCTGACCAGGGACGTACGCAGGGGGCGGCCCGGGCCCCCCCCGAAATGATTTTTTTTCACAGTAAATTTATGTTTGCAACAGCGAATTTTTTCATTTTGTACTACCGGGCCCCCCCCCCCCCCCCCCCCAAATGAAATCCTGTGTACGTTGCTGTTCCTGACCATCTATGGTAGAAGACTTCTATGGAAGAAAACCTCCTGGTCTTCTATGGAATAGGACATTTAAAACGACCTCTGGGGCATACAGAGAAAGACGACTTATTGGTCTCCTATGGAAGGAATACCTCCAGGCATTCTGCTGAAAAAACACCTCCAGATTTTCTATGGAAGGAAGACCTCTAGGTCTTCTATATAAGATCCTCGTTTGTGGACTTTTTGGTCATTGAAAAAAAAAAATACTTTCAGTTCTTTTATGGAAGGGAGGCCTCAAGGTTTTCTTTGGTCCTTGAAAAAAAAAAATATAATTAAAAAATCCACGCCTCTTTTGGCCCTTGAAAAAATATTCTTTAAAAAATCCACGCCTCTTTTGGTCCTTGAAAAAATATTATTTAAAAAATCCACGCCTCTTTTGGTCCTTGAAAAAAATATATTTAAAAAATCCACGCCTCTTTTGGTCCTTGAAAAAAAATATATTTAAAAAATCCACTCTCTTTTGGTCCTTGAAAAAAATATATTTAAAAAATCCACACCTGTTTTGGTCCTTGAAAAAAATATATTTAAAAAATCCACGCCTCTGTTGGTCCTTGAAAGAAATATATTTAACGCCTCTTCCTGTCTTTGATAAAAATAAAAAATCCAGACTTACCTCCCAAACACATTCGATATGTTTATCGCCAACACCCATTGATATATACAAAGGTTCACGATAATTCTCCTTCAGATTATAGACATGGACATTGCCATCATAGAGGCCAATGGCAACTAAGAAAGGATACTTAGGGTGGATATCACAGCACATTACCCCACTTTCAGTCATGACTAAAATACGAAAAAAATTGGTTACTATAACCTCTCATTTCAGGTTTGCACTCTTACTTATATAGTCCGGATACGAAGGATTCTTGACGGTGAATAAACAAATCGCACCCTCACTGGGTTGTTTCATAAAGTCATCTAGAAAAATTTCCAAAAAGAAATAAAATAGAAAAAAATGTTCTCATTTCCAAGGTCACCTACGTGATCCAAAACACACGGCAAACAAATCATAATAGTACGGATTGAACATAACATCGGTTACGCTCATTTTCTTTGTCCGTTCATATTGAAATTTCCACAGAGGCAATAGGGTACCTTCACCATCACGAAATTCATCTGCCGAATCTTCCCAATAACGATAATCATGCGCAATATCCTTATAGATATTTTGATTAATCATTCGTTCCAAAATT